CCCACCCACAGCCCTAGTACTCACACATGCCCACAGGTGCTGCAGCCTGGCGCAGGCTGGCTCACCCCGAGTCCTGGTTCTTATGAGTGTCTGCAGATGCTGCGGCCTACCTTAGTTCTGCAGCCTGGTAGGGGCATGCCTAAAGATGTCCCACCAAGCCCACCCCAGCTGCAGTTCTCACACATGGCAGCAGGTGCTGCAGCCCAGCCCCAGTGCTGGCTGATGGGTGCTGAGGCTTTGCATCTGCAGGCAGGTGATATGGCCCTGTCAGGAAGACCCTAAACCCCCCCCCCCCACGAGACACACCCTGCAAGCACAGCTCTCCTAAGCCATGGCAGCATCCTGCAACCCAGCATGGCCCAGGTCACCTTGTACCCTGTCTCTCATGTGCACGCACAGGTGCCTTGGCCTGACCCAGGGAAGCCCTCCAGAAGCCCCTCTGATCCACCCCATCTCAGCTCCCTCGATTATCTGCAAATGCAATGGGTCCATGGGACTCCCTAGAAATCCTTCCATACGTGTCAAACAAGCCTTCAGCTGCCCCCATTCGGATCGGTCTCCAGACCACCCGCTCCGGGCAGTGCACACCTCCCCAAGCCCGCAGGGTTTATGTGGTGGGCCCACAGGCGGGGTGGGAGTGAAGATGGCAGACACACTTGCAAAGAGACTTGTTAACAAAAGCTAACTTCAAATACTTTGGGAAGTTGCTTTAAAATACCCTATATCAAGGTGATCATAGGAAAAGCAGCTATAAGAATCAGGAGCTAAGGGCCACCTACGTGGCAGTAGGCTCTGAATCCCCGCCTACATCACTGGCATCCCAGGCGGGTGCCTGTAAGAGCCCTCGCTGTCCCCACTTCTGAAGGAGCTCCCGAGCTCCCTGCTAATGGTCTAGGAAAGCAATGGAGAACAGCCCCGGCCTTGGGGCCCTGTCCACACGAAGCCCCAGAGCAGTTCCTGACTTCCAGCTTCAGACAGGCCCAGCACTGGCTGTGTGGCTACTGGGGGAATAATCTTTCCATCAAACAAAATTTTAAAAATCTTACACAAAAATGTCTGGGGTTAAACATATAAAATCAAGGATTCTTTTTTTTTTATATAAGATTTATTCATTTTTATTTGAAAAGCAGATTTACAGAGAGAGGGAGAGACAGATAAATATCTTCCATCCACTGGCTCACTCCCCAAATGGCCACAATGACCAGAGCTCAGCCAGTCTGAAGCCAGGAGCTTCTTCCAGCTCCACGTGGGTACAGGGTCCCAAGGCTCTGGGCAAACACGAAGCTGGATGGAAGTGGAGCAGCCGAAACACAAACCGGCTCCCATATGGGATCCCAGCACGTGCAAGGCAAGGATCTACCCACTGAGCCATTGTGTTGGGCCCAGGTTTTTCATTAAAAGATTTACTTTGGGCCTGGCGCAGTGGCACAGTGGTTAAGGTCCTCGCCTTGCCCACCCGGGATCCCATATGGGCGCCGGTTCTATCCCGGCAGCCCCGCTTCCCTTCCAGCTCCCTGCCTGTGGCCTGGGAAAGCAGTCGAGGACGGCCCAAAGCTTTGGGACCCTGCACCCACGTGGGAGACCCGGAAGAGGCTCCTGGCTTCAGATCGGCATAGCATCGACCGTTGCGCTCAGACCGTTGCTCTGTCTCTCTTCTCTGTCTATCCGCCTTTCCAATAAAAATAAAATAAATCTTTAAAAAAAAAAAAAAGAAGATTTACTTTATTTTTACTTGAAAGGAGAATTACAGAGAGAAGCAAAGAGCAGTTGGTACATTCCCCAAATAACGGCAGTGGCTGGCACTCAGCTCATCCCACAGGGACGCAGGAGCCCAGGCGCTTGGACCGTCCTCCACTGCTTTCCCAGGTCATAACCAGGAAACCGGATCGGAGGCGGAGCAGCCAGGGGCACTGCTGCCACAGGCTAAAGTTTCTCCTCCTACACCAAGATTTATTTACTTTTATTGCAAAGTCAGATATACAGAGAGGAGGAGAGATAGACAGGAAGATCTTCCATCCGATGATTCACTCCCCAAGTGACCACAGCAGCCAGTGCTGTTCCGATCGAAAGCCAGGATCCAGGAACTTCCTCCAGGTCTCCCATGCGGGTGCAGGGTCCCAAAGCTTTGGGCCGTCCTCTACTGCTTTCCCAGGCCACAGGCAGGGAGCTGGATGGGAAGTGGAGCTGCCAGGATTAGAACCGGCACCCATATGAGATCCCAGCATGTTCAAGGCGAGGACTTTAGCTGCCAGGCCACTGTGCCGGGCCCTCTTTTTTTTTTTTTAATCTGTTTATTTTTATTGGAAATGGAGATTTACAGAGAGAAGAGACAGAGAAAAGATGTTCCATTCACTGGGTCACTCCCCAAATGGTCACAGTGGCCAGAGCTAAGCCAACCCAAAGCCAGGAGCCAGGCGCCAGGAGCCAGGAGCTTCTTCCAGGTCTCCCACATGGGTGCAGGGTCCCAAGGCCTTGGGCCGTCCTCTACTGCCTTCCCAGGCCACAAGCAGGGAGCTGGATGGGAAATGGAGCTGTTGGGATTAGAACCTGAGCCCATATGGGATCCCAGCGTATTTAAGGTAAGGACTTCACTCACTAGGCCATCGTGCCGGGCCCAAATTACTTTATTTTTGTATTCTAGTTTAAACACAAATTGGAAATCATACTAGAAAGGTAACATGCAATTCCAACCAAGATATCGATATTCAAATTCAAAAAATATCCATATTCAGAAAACCTTTAACGGTAAATCCAGACTGCTAAATATATGCTTCAGGGCTGACGCTGTGGAATACTGTGCTACAACTGCAGCACCCGCATACCGTACAGGCGCTGGTTCAAGTCCCGGTTGCTCCATTTCCGATCCAGCTTCCTGCTAATGCGTCTGGGGAGGAAGTGGAGGATGGCCCAAATTCTTCGGTCCCTGTCACCCACTGCTGACTGCAGCGTGGTCCGCTCCTGGCCACTGCAGCCATCTGGGGAGTGAACCAGACGATGGAAGGCCTCTGTCTCTTTCTCTAACTCTGCCTTTCAAATAAATAAATCTTAACACACAAAAAAGTGCACTTTCAGGCAAAGTTTCTAACACTAACCTCTTTATTAATGAATCCTTTTTTTCTTTTCAGTGATTTGAAAGGCAGAGCATGAGAGAAAGAGAATGAGACCCAATCTTTCTCTCTCTATTTTCTTCTATCTATAAGTCTGCCTTTCCAATAAAAATAAAGAAATAAATCTTTAGGAAAAAAAAAAAAAAGACAGCAGCTCCTTTAAAAATCTGAAAATCATTTAGACATGTGACAATGAAAGGCATTAAGACCAGAAATACACACGCATTTTAAGATACAACCAAATGCAAAATACAAATCACAAGTAATTGATCACTACTCAAAAACTATGCATATAAAGCAAGTTACATTACGACAGAAAGTAAGACAGCTGCTCTGTGAGTTCAGAGAGATGAGAAATTTAATACTTAGTATATTTTCCTTCCTAAATCTTCAGTCATTTGGTGACATTTTATTTAAATAGCCACCTACCTTACAGTATTTCAAACCATAATCCATTTTCTCTAAATGTTTATTCGAAAGGCAGAGCAACACAGAGGGGGTAGAGAAAGAAAGACGGGGGCTGGGAGAGATCTCCCGGGCCCTGGCTCACTCACACCAACGCCTACAACACTGGCTCGGGGTCAGGCTGAAGCCCGGAGCCACAAACCCCACCTCGCCTCCCTCCCAGGTCCTCGGGTCCTCCCCTGCTTGCTCTCTCAGGCACAGCTAGAAGGAAGCTGCCCTGGAGGTCAAGTGGCCAGGTGTAGAGAGAATGCTCCAGTAAGGGATGCCAACATCCAAGGGAAGGCGTGCCTTTCCGTGCCAGTGACGGATCCTACACGTTAGCATGCCCGGGAGCCCTTCTGTCATCCTGCCCACTGGGTCTCAGCAGCACTGAATTCTCCTGAGCCGGAAGTAGCAACACATAAGAATCCCCACGCCTACAGTACACTGCTGTGTGTGTTCAGGGGGCAGGTGCCGTGACAGAGGAGATAAAGACTGTCACTGGCATCCCATACGGGCAAGTCTGTGCCCCACCTAGCTCCCTGCTAATGGCAAGAGAAAACAGGTGGACGACGGTCCAGGTGCTGGGTCCCTGCACCCATGGGAGACTGAGATGAAGCTTCAGATTGCTGGCTTTGGTCAGGCTCAGTGCTGGCCACTGCAGTCATCTGGGAGATGAACCAGCAGACTGACCATCTCTCTCTCTATAATTCTGATTTTCAAATATATAAATACATTTTTTAAAAAACTGAAAATTTTATAAGTTTAAAAAGCATTATTCATTTCTAATATATTGAGTATGAAGTCTCTAATCATTTTCTATTAGTTACATGTATGTAGTGCATTTTTATTGTACCAATGGAAGTCACTTAAAATAACAAGATTAAAAAAAAAAAAACATTACAAGTAGTTGCCTCCGGGACCCTGCGTGGTGGCCTAGTGGCTAAAGTCCTTGCCTTGAACCCACCGGGATCCAATGTGGATGTCGCTTCTAATCCCAGCAGCTCCACTTCCTGCCCAGCTCCCTGCTTGTGGCCTGGGAAAACAGTTGAGGATGGCCCAAAGCCTTTGGACCCGGCACCTGTGTGGGAGACCTGGAAGAAGTTCCTGGCTCCTGGCTTCGGATCGGCGTAGCACCAGCCATTGCGGTCACTTGGGGAGTGAAACATCGGATGAAAGATCTTCCTCTCTGTCTCTCCTCCTCTCTGTATATCTGATTTTCCAATAAAAATAAATAAAATCTTTAAAAAACAAACAAACAAACAAAAAACCCCCAAAACAAAAAACAAGTAGTTGTCTCTGAGAATGAACCAGGAGATGGGAGTGGCTGGGATAAAGGGGCATTCATTAAAAGCTTGATTTTTCAACCATGCACGGTCACTTCAACATATACACTCGTAATAAATGATGTCCTTATTGCGACTTGTTACAATCAGCCAAAGCGAATACCTTGCGGGGAGGAAAGGTGCTGCTCCCGCAGCTTTTCCTGAGGCAGTCCCAAGTAGCTGAGGACCACGTACTTGGTTTCATAGTGGAATCCGGCAGGCACAGCAGTAGCGGACGCCATTGAACTGGCCGGCACAGCTCCTACGGGGTCAAGTGACAGACACAGACGTAAGACGCTTTTAGTGTAAAGCTGGATGCATGTCAGCACGTTTTAGTATTGAGAGCAACCACTCAAACGCTGAAGCATGAGTTTCTCACACTTATGTCCAGCAATTTTGAAAATTATAACTTTACCCATGCCCAGGCTGACGCCCTCAGTTCCCGCTGGATTCCCAGGCCCCGCCGCCCAGCTCCCGCACCCATGTGTTAACCATGACCCCTTCCATTAGCCACTGTCTGCTTAAATACACTGCAGTCAAGACCAACCCGGAATGGCCACGACTGGAACCACATCTTTCCATTTCTAAGGCAGTGCCTCATCGAATAACACAGTGAAGCTCATTAGATCTACTTTACAAAAATCTTCTGATTCTACAAGATCCACATATAAACCTAGCAGTGTGGCTACATTCACATATAAAATTACATTCTTGAATTGAAACAGAAGATGGTGCCCTCCGATAATCTTTCAGGTTTATTCCACGTACATTTCTGAAACTACAAGGCACTCTACAGAAATCAGGCACAAGGATACAATGACGTCACCAGCCCACAGGCCTTCTCAAGTAAGCAGAAAACAGAAAGAGCCACACAGGTGAGAATCAAGGCATGCGAGCGACAACCTCACGTCCATCTGTTTTCACTTCCAGTCCGCTCGCTATTCACATTCACTGGGAAGGCAGTGGAAGACAGCACACTGGGCCTGGTGCCACCTGGAGACTCGGCTGACACTCCCTGCTCCTGCCTGAGCCTGCCGCAGCCACTCAGAGCCTCCCAGTGGCGTCTGTCTCTGCCTCTCCCACTGTGTAACACTGCCTTTTGCTTTGTTGTTTTGTTTTTCAGGGAGCTGGACGGGAAGTGGAGCTGCCGGGATTAGAACCAGCGCCCATATGGGATCCTGCCACGCTGAAGGCGAGGACTTTAGCTGCTAGGCCACTGCGCAGGGCCCAACGCTGACTTTTAAATAATGAACCGAACATTAAAAAAACATCGGAGCTGGTGTGGTAGAACAGCAAGTCAGCATCCCACATGGGCACAGGCAGCTGCTCCACTTCCCGTCCAGCTTCCTGCTTACAGCCTGGAACAGCGGCAGAGGACGGCCCAAGGCCTTGGATGCCTGCACCCAAGTGGGAAACAGAGGAACTCCTAGTTCCCAGCTTTACAGCGGATCAGCTCAGCTCTGGCCAAAGTGATCCCCTTGCAGAGGATGGCAGATCGTTCTGTCTCTCCTCCTCTCTGTAACTATGACTTCTCAAGTAGAAGAAAGAAATTAAAATGTATGTTAAAAAATCAATTTAATTGGGGGAGGGGGAAAGCCCACCGCCAACTAAATTAAAACAATTTTAAAAAGAAGAAATAGCAAATCAAATTGGGCAGCAAAAAAAAAAATCAATTTATTGGGCCCAGTGCAACAGCACAGTGGTTAAACTCCTCGCTTGGAATGCCCCTCGATCCCATATGGGCACTGGTTCTAATCCCGGCAGCTCCACTTCCCATCCAGCTCCCTGATTGTGGCCTGGGAAAGCAGTCGAGGACGACCCAAAGCCTTGGGATCCTACACCCACGTGGGAGACCCGGAAGAGCTCCTGGTTCCTGGCTTCGGATTGGCTCAGCTCCAGCTGTTGGGTCACTTGGGGAGTGAATCATTGGACAGAAGCTCTTCCTCTCTGCCTCTCTTCCTCTCTGTATATCTGCATTTCCAGTAAACATAAATAGATCTTTTTAAAAAAGTCAATTTAATAAATTAATATTTAAGCGTGGCTAAAAGAGAAAGAAATCCCACACAGTCAGAAAGGTAGAAAGAAAATGCAGTAAGGTGTGGTGGTGCCAGTCAGGGTGGCACTCCACGAGATGGACGCGAGGTTTCTGTCCCTCCCTCTCTCTAACTGCCTTTCAAACAGAGAAACGAAAAACAAATTTAAAAAAAAAAAAAAAAACTTCTTTGAAAGGCCAAAAAACAGACAGATGGAGAGAAATCTTCCGCCATTTGGTTTGTTCCCCAAATGTTCAGGACAGCCAGGACTGCGTCAGGATTAAGTCAGAATTCACAAACTCCAACTCAATTTCCCGTGTACTGAGTTGGTAAGAATCCGAAGACTTCGGGCAACACCTACTGCTCTCACGGTAAACACTGCAAGCTGGACACGGAGCAGAGGGACCACGGCGTGGCCCGGCGCTCGGATGTGGGACACGGGGGTCCTATAGAGTGACTTGGCACAAATGTCTGCCCTCAGACGTACTTGTCATCTCTCCGTTTCTCCTTGCCAGCCGCCCCCCCCCACCAACCACACTTAGAAGCAGTTGCTCCAGTGAGCAGCCTGGCACCTTAGTAAGAAACCTGTGGGACCAGCACAACACCCTAGTGGCTAGAGTCCTCACTTTCCATGCGCCAGGATCCCATATAAGCACCGGTTTGTGTCCCAGCGGCCCCCACTTCCCATCCAGCTCCCTGCTTGTGGCCTGGAAAGGCACTGGAGGACGGCCCAAAGCCTTGGGACCCTGCACCCACATGGGAGACCCAGAGGAGGCCTCCCGGCTCCTGGCTTCAGAAGGGCTCAAGTTGAGCTGTTGAGGCTACTTGGGGAGTGAGCCAGCAGATGGAGGATCTTCCTCTCTCTCCTCTTCTCTGTAAATGTTTCCAATAAAAATAAATCTTCAATTTAAAAAAAAAAAAAAAAAAAATGTTGACCAGAAGCCTGCATCCCATATGAAGTGGGGCTGCCTGGTTCTGAGTCTACTTCCTCCAGCTCTCGGAGTTTCTGCCACCTGCACTCAGTGCCAGACTGCTGGCTTGGGCGTGGCCCTGCTCCGGCTTCTGTGTGCATCTGAGCAGCACACCAGCTGGCAGGAGAGCCTGGTCTCTCTCCCTTCCAGGCAAATGACCACTTTGGGGAGCTGCTATCACGCCACGGGAGACTGAGGTGCTGCCTGGAATGGCAGCATCCCATCTGACTCCCAGGTCAAGTTCCACAGCTCCACTCCGGGCACACTCCCTGCTGACGCGCCTGGGAAAGCGATGGAAGACAGCCAGTCCTTGGGGTGTCTGCACCCGTACGGGGGACGTGGGTTCAGGCAGTCAACTGGCGGGGCCGAGATCTCTCTCCATTCATCTGTCAGTGCAGCTCTCTGACTTTCGAATGGAATGAAAATCATTTTTGTAAAGATTAATTTTCACCGGAAATGCAGATGGATATACAGAGACAGACCCTTTGCCCACTGGTACACTCTCCAATGGCTGTGATGGTCGGAGCTCAGCTGATCGGAAGCCAGGAGCCAGGAGATTCTTCGGGATTCTCCCAAGCAAGTACGGAGTCCCAAGGTTTTGTGCCACCCCCTACCGCTTTTGCAGGCCACAAGCAGGGAGCTGGATGGGAAATGGAACAGGCGGGACATGAACCAGTATCCATTTCGGATCCTGGTGCATGAAGACAAGGATTTAGCCACTGGGCTATGGCGGTGGGCTCATGAATATGATTTTTTTTTAATTTAAGCAATAGCCACAATAAATGAACAATATATACACACACAAAAAAAAAACCCACATAGTTCTGTTATTCAGAGAAATATGTTCTTTAACACAACAAAAATCTAGGGCCGAGGAGAGCTGACTAAACTTGCAAGTTCCAGGATCTAGCAGGGGCGCCACTTGGCACCCCAGCCACTCTGCTTCCCATCTGGTTCCATGCTTGTGGCCTGGGAAAGCAGTCAAGGATGGCCCCAAGCCTTGGGACCCAGTACCCACATGGGAGACCTGGAAGCAGCTCCTGGATCCTGGCTTTAGATCGCCTCAGCTCCAGCAGTAGCAGCTGCTTGGGGAGTGAACCAGAGGGTGGAAGATTTTTCCATCTCTCCTTCTCTGCAAATCTCATCTGCCTTTCTAATAAAAACAAACAAACAAAAAAACTCTTTGAAAAATATATAAGAAAAAATATATATCTAGGGCCCAGTGCAACAGCCCAGTGGCTGAAGTCCTCGCCTTGAACAGGCCAGGTTCCCATATGGGAACTGTTTCTAATCCCATCAACCCCACTTCCCATCCAGCTCCCTGCTTGTGGCCTGGGAAAGCAGTCGAGGACGGCCCAAAGCCTTAGGATCCTGCACCCCGCGTGGGAAACCCAGAAAGAAATTCCTGGCTCCTGGCTCCAGACTGGCACAGCTCTGGCCGTTGCGCTCACTTGGGGAGTGAATCATCAGACGGAAGATCTTCCTCTCTGCCTCTCCTCCTCTCTGTATATCTGACTTTGAAATAAAAATAAATCTTTTTTTAAAATCTAGTTTAATCACAAAATCAACAGTTCTTGGGGGCGGCGGGGGGGGGGGTGACTTTGATTATTGCAATCTATAAAAACAGCACTTTTCATCTGCACAGCCTGGACAACAAAGGACAAAAACTGGATTAGGGAGCAGAGGGAGAAGTTCAGCAGGAACGAAATGAACTGTTACACCCCACAGAGCCTGCCGGTGCCTCTCGGTGCTCTGAGCCCACTGAGTCACCGCAGTGCTCAACGCAACAGTGTGGTAAAGCTGCAAGCGCAGACACCGTCCACCTACAAACCACAGCCCATCACGGCCGCCGAGCTCAGCGCGGACACAGAAACCCAGGGACCCGGCTACAACTCCGTGTGTTCAGAGTTGTGCAAACCCAACACTTTGAGGAAAAACCCAGTTCACGTATTCGGCATGCCTGTTGTGTGAATACACGAATGTTACTTGTGTCTTAACCTTATTTTAACCTTACTGTTGTAACTGCCATACTGTTATTTGGGATCTTAATTTTCACCAGTGTCCCAGAATGTCCTCACAATTACACCGATTTGACCTGTTTTTTTCTTTTTTTAAGATTTATTTATGTATTGGAAAGTCAGATATACGGAGAGAAGGAGAGACAGAGAGGAAGATTTTCCATCCGATGGTTCACTCCCTAAGTAAGTGCAATGGCCAGTGCTACGCCAATCCGAAGCCAGGATCCAGGAACTTCTTCC